TCTTTAACTTGAATTGTATGTTGCTTCACTCCACAATTCCGCCAACCTCCATTTGATATGATCGTGAATGCTTGATTCCATCCATCCTCCAACTACGTTGTTTGTCTATAATAAATAGGAATGCACAAACACTAGACAAACAACATCAGTAGTAAATTGTTTGTAAATCATCATCAAAACAATTTACAAAAAAGGATATATGCATGAAAGGAAATGGATATATAAAATATAATTCACATGCATATAAACAAGGAAATGTATACTCACAATATTTCTCCCCCTTTGACAACATCAAAAAGGGGACAAAGGTATGAAGAGAGCGAAAGCTCCCCCTATCAATAAGCATGGGTGAGTACAAAGCAAATATAGGGAATAGAATATATATATATATATAGGGATTGCTCCCCCTATCAAAAAGCCATATAGGATATAAGCAATAAAAGATCATGGCATAACATGTGAGTAAGCATAAAAAATATGCTAACAATCACTCACATTCAAACAAGATAATGAGAACACATAAATATATCAAGATGAACATATTGTCTCATATCATAAAAGCCAATGTATAAAATAGATTTATGAAATCAAAAGAAGAGAAACATGAGAATCATGTAAAAAAGTTTTCAAATGAAAACAAATCAACCAATTGAAATCATAAATCAAAGTTTAAATCATGAAACCAAATCATCATTGATTTTTAAAAATCAAGAGAGGCAACTCTATCTAGCTCTTGAGTTAGTATTAACCCATATGAACATTTTAGCATCCGGTAAACATGATTTGGGAATAAACATCCAATAAATCCGGAGGGTTATATAAGTACAAACCTCTCATCAAAACAAAACAAATAATCATGAAAACAAAAGATTTTATCAATTATAAATTTATTTTCATAATCAAAATATTTTAAGACATAATTTTAAAACCAAGAAAGGAAAAAGTAAGAACACTAAAATTCTTGGTTTAAAGTTTAAATTTGTTTTGGTACCCAAGAACTCTTGGTACCAAAAGATTTAGGGACATGACCCCTATTATTTAAGCTCAAAGCCTTAGGGTTATGAACCCTCTTAGGCATATATGGTGCACTAACATGGTCAAAACAATATTCATTCAAATGACCCTTCCGATTGCAATTTGTGCAATGAAAGAGATCCATTTGTTTTTGTGGACCATTAGCTCGTGCACGGGAATCATTTGCAAATAAAGATTTTCTTTTAAAATTATTTTGCAAATGAGAAACATTCTTAAACAATGGTTTATTTGGAACATATTGCAATTTAGAAGCTTTTTGTATATCAAAACAAAATTTAGCAAGATGTCCAAACCTACCACAAACATCACATTTAAAAACATGTGGTCTATTGGAAGCATTTTTCAAATGAGATTTTCTTTTCAAATCAAAGCAATATTTGGCCAAATGACCAAAACGACCACAATAATCACACTTGAACACACTAGCATGCTTATGATGAACTTTGTGAGAATGAGCATGTGAATGTGTAAGTGTGCAAGATGAAGAAGCTACATGAGATGCACAAGAATGATTAATATTCTTATGTTTTTGTGCATCATAACAAAACTTAGCTAAATGACCTTGACGGCCGCAAATAGAACACTTATAAGTTTTGCTATACATGTATGCATAATGAGTGGATGATTTTGATTTAGTCTTGGCACACATGTCCATAGGCTTCTTATGGTTATTATTGCATATTTTCAAAGTTGAACCTAAAGATGAAATACTATTTTTCATAAGATTCAAATCTTCATTTTTAGGCACATATGCATTTTTAGAAGTAGAACATAAATAGTTATTTATAAAAGAAGCTGTATCATTCTTTATGTTCTCTACTTCTAACATGGCATCAATCTTAGCATGAGATAGGCTAGCAATAGATGAAATCAAATTTCTATTTTCCAAATTTAATAAGTCATTGCTTTCTTTAAGCATAGTATTTTCATTTTCAATGACATCAAATTTGGACACTAGCTTCTCATGATGGGATTTTAAGACATCATGCTTGCTTTTTAAATCAATAAAATCATTTTGCAATTTGTTATAGGCATGCAATAATTTTTCACTAGCACAAGCAAGTTCATCACTAGATAAATTATTATCGGGTTCGAACTCGCAAACCTCACTAGGGCTATCGCCTAGTGGCCGTGTGCATGTTGCTCCGTATGAACTTGAAGTTAGATCCTCCAAAGCTTGTTGGATCGCCTCCAAGTCCCCTTGATGTGCTTCAATAAATTTCCAAAGTTTGTAAGCACTATCAAAATGAACAAACTTGTTAGACATAGATGAATTAAAAGCATTTTGCAAATATTCTAACAAAATATTGTTCATTGTAAACATACGATGATCATTCTTATTCCACTTGGATTTCTCCAAAGTGGGCACAATATAAGCATCATCTATAATTTCCTATAAATCAAAGTGTTTAGATTGAACAAAAAGTTTAAATCTAACACACCATTGGGCATAGGGGAAATTATCTAATCTAGGAGCAATATTAAAAGCATTGAATTTTGGAGCAATACTAGAATCATAGCCTAAACAAGATGCATCATTCATATTCATAATTTGTAAAAATATGCAAGCAAGATGCAAATGCAATCAAAACAAGATTAGCACAACAAGATAACTTGGATCTTTAACTCAAGGCGATTAGACCTTAAATCAAAGAGCACCAAGCTCTGATACAAATTGTTAGACCCTAGAGGGGGGGGGTGATTAGGGTCTTATGCTAATCTAATCCGATTAAATGCCAATTAAAACTTATTAACAAGTTATCCTAGCAAGTATGAAAAACAAGCAATATGATCACGGAGTTCGGACCTTCCGTCCTACGTCTCCGCTCCCCACTCCCGGGGAGAAATCCACTAACACAATCCGGTTTGGAAGCCGGAACTTCTTCTACACACTCGGTTTTCTAGCTAACCGAAAACTCTACAACTCACACTCTTGCAATCACACTCTACACCCACTAAGTGTTGGACCTAGCCGTGTCTCCCTCAAGTGCTCGGTTACAACCTCTCCCTAGGCACGTCAACCGACGCCACTCCTCTTGGGACGATCCCCGACTCTCACCACACACTCCTCACTCGGTGTACAAGTGTATTACAAAGTGATTCTCACAATAAGCACAAATATAACAAATGACTGTTCTCAAAACAAGGTGAGAACTCAATTAAGCACAACTCTTAGTCACAAACCCACAACCCCAAATTATACTATGAATGTAAATACAATAAGCTCAAAAAGTTGTGTGTGAACAAAGAGATATAAATCAAAACTAAACTCAATGTAGTTCTAGCTTAATAACAATGATAATCAAATATATAAAAAAGCTAGAAATAGAGTTTAGAAAACTTCTCAATATATCAAGAGTTGGAGGGAGAATAGTTGAATGCCCAAACACCAATAGATGATCTCCTCAAGCTCTTGTAGAATTGAATCGCAAAACCGAAACACTCAAATGCTTAAAAGCTTCTTAAAACAAACTTAAACAAACACTAAACAAGTTTAAACCCTTGTTAAAATCTTTTAAACCATTCTCTTGTTTTAAAACTCTCTCATGGTTAGGTGGAGAGCTGAAGGCAATGGGGTATTTATACCCTCTCAAAACTTCGGCAAAACCCCAGCCAAAAAGACAAAAACAGCCCCAGTAAACAGCTCAGGAAATAGCCGTTGGAAAAGCAACGGATCAAAAACACGAAGAAAACTTTCTGGACTAACGTCGGTCGACCGGAAATTCTGTCGGTCGACCGATGGAGAGCAAAAACACAAAGAATGGCTCTGGACGATCGTCGGTCGACCGGTGCGGTCGACCGATGAAAACTTTCGGTCGACCGACGGAAATTTCGGTCGACCGATTAGAGCTCTCGGTCGACCGGACCGGTCGACCGACAGACTCTCTGTCGCCCAGTAACGAAAGACCAAATAATCGGTCGACCGGTGCGGTCGACCGAAAACTGACATATGAAAATCTTATTTTCTGATTTTAAAATGCTGTTTAAAAATATCAAATAAATTCCAAAAAATGTAAAACTTTAGGGAATGATTGTAGACATGATAATAAACATGCTACAACGACTGGTTTCGAAAAAGGACTTCCCAAATGAAAAATATCATCATTTTGCAAATATGTTCAAAAACATGAAAACCTGAAAATTGATATTTTGATATTTTGACTTAAACAACTTTTGAAACTTTGTGAAATGTTTTTATAGACTTAGTAAAACATGTATAAACTGATATTCAAGTCTACAAACTAAGAATACAATATTTTCACAAAATTGCATATTCTATGCAATGTTTTGAAAAACACAATGGTAAATATGAAACATGTGATTTCATATTTATAAACATGAAAACTCAAAACTATGTATGTATATATATAAAACTATATATATGCATAGAAACCAAAACTTGTGTATATATATAACTATATATATATATACGAAGAAACCAATAAAATGTGTGTGTATATTATATTGAGCTTAACGTATTAAACACACATAATATAAACCTATACTAAATTACCCAAGCTAGATCTTGATCTTCATTAAGCTCGACTTGGTACACATGCGGATGAAGCTTGAACTTGATCTTTAACTTGAATTGCAAGGCTTCACCGACATTCCACCAACCTCCTCTGGATATGATCGTTGAAGCTCTATTCCATCCATCATCCATCAACGTTGTTTGTCTATAATAAATAAGAAAACACAAATACTAGACAAACAACATTAGTGATAAATTGTTTGTTAAACATCATCAAAACAAGAAGGCCAACACTCAGTTGAATGGAATTCAAGCTCGTCGTCTCCTAAGTAAACTTGTAAATTCTTGTGATGGCGCCAGCAGCTCATCTAGGGTTTCTTGGGCAGATGAGGTCGAATTGGAGGTGATTTCTTCTAATTCTAATTTGATTCAAAATCCTTCTGATATTCCTTCTAGAGTTCTTGCCTCTGATAGAGTGAATTCTGAATCGATGCTTGATCTCGACACTGTTTCATTGATAAAAGATGTGAATAAGCTGTCTGAGGATAGATTGAATGATTTGTCTAATTCTATTAAGAAGATCAGAGTAGAAAATATTGATAAAATTCCTGTGAATTCTAATTTGGAGATAAAGGAGAATGATGTCCAGGATGAGGCTGTTAAGGTCCAAAATAATGTGGTTAATAATGAAAAGATAAACAAAACTTTTGCTAGCCTTTTTGCTGATAATAGGAAAGCAGGAAATGAATTATCTCTGAATTTCTTGCCATCTTCCAATTCAAATACAGTCTCATTTTCTGCTGAAGAATGGAAAGAAGGAGAAGGTTTATGGGAAAATGCTTTAATTGGACATGTCATAGGATTAAATGTCAAATTTAAATCAATGGAGTCCTATGTCAACAAATTATGGGGTAATATCTCTATACCAAAGGTCTCACTAATCAAGCAAGGATTATTCCTATTTGACTTTCAATCAGAAGCATCTATGAGAGAAATTCTTGAAGCTGGCCCCTGGTTTTTTGGGTCCAGACCTCTAATGTTGAAACCATGGAGTATTGATGCCGATATTGACAAGATGAAAGACATTTATTATCCTATGTGGTTGCAATTTCCAAATTTAAGGTTAAACTTATGGAGCTCAATAGGAATCAGTAAAGTTGCTAGCCTAATTGGTAAGCCTATTGCAACTGACAAGCTCACGGCAAATAGAGAGAGATTGAGCTATGCAAGAGTTTTATTAGAGGTCAAGTTGCCATTGAAAGATCCATTGCCTGATCAGTTAAACATTCAAGGGCCTGATGGAATAAGCTACACACAATCAGTCATATATGAATATAAACCAAAGTGGTGTTCTTTGTGTAGTAAGATTGGTCATGTTACAGAACAATGTAGAAGAATTAAGACTAAAAATATGTGGGTTCCTGTTATTAGACAGGCTGAAAATGTTGCTCATGTTCTTAGCAAGGAACCTGCTATTATTCCTGGGCTAGATAGGGATTCTGTTGTTCAGCAAATTTCTGAAGCAAATATCAATACTGAGCAAATTGTTGGAAAAAACAAAGAGACACTGTCTGCTGGAAAACATGCACAGACAGAAAAACATGCACAAGCTGAAAGTAGATTTGTGGGGAAAGGGAGCTTAATTTTTCCAGCAAATGATCCACATCTCTTCTCCACTCCGATTGTCAATGCTTCTGGATTTTCTAGCATCAACAGAACTAATCTAGCAAGGAGATCTACTATAGGCATTGCTGAATTTTCAGGTATTCAATTATCTCACCTCTCTCCTTTAGATAACCCCTCATGTGTTGATAGGGGTGGTAATTCTATCTAAATGCATCTTGCTATTTGGAACATAAGAGGATTTAATAAATCCTCCAAGCACAAGATAGTAAAGCAGTTCATACAAGATTATAATATTTCATTAATAGGCCTTCTGGAAACTAAACTTCATGAAAATAAGTTGCAAAGGATAGCTATGCAAATTACCAAAGACTGGAAATGGACTTCTAATGTGCATGAAGCCAGGAATGGAAGAATTTGGATTCTATGGGATACTGATATTCTTAATGTTCAAGTATTAAGCTCAACTGATCAATACATTACCTGCACCATTGATTCCAGAAATGGGAAGTTCTCTAGCTTGTGTACTATTGTTTATACTCAAAATCAAATGGCCAACAGAAAGACCCTTTGGAGAGATCTTCTGGCTCTTAAAAACAGTGTCAATGGTCCCTGGATCATTGGAGGGGATTTCAATGCAATTACAAGCTATGATGAAAAGATTGGAGGTATACCAGTTTCTGATACTGATATAGAGGATTTTCAAAACTTCATCAGTACAAGTCATCTACTTCATCTAAAATCAATTGGATGCTACTTCACATGGAATAATAAACAGGATGCTGATAATAGAATCTGGTCTAGATTAGACAGATGCTTGGTTAATGAGGATTGGATTCATCAATATACAACCAGTCAAGTGGAGTTTCTGCTGCCTAGTTGTTCTGATCATTCTCCTGCCTTGTTAACAATTGAAGATGATGTTATAAATGGTAAACGGCCATTCAAATTTTTCAACATGTGGGTAAAACATCCTGAGTTCATCCCTACAGTCAAAAAAGTCTGGGAGCAAAACATTGAAGGTTACAAAATGTACAGTTTCCACACAAAACTCAAGAAGTTAAAGCTTGCTCTCAAAGAATTGAATAAGAAGCATTTTATGAATATAAGTGAACAAGTGCATAGAGAAAAAGATGGATTGGCTGATACTCAAAGGCTGTTAAATGGTGACCCCTTCAGCTCAGATTTGATTAAAAGAGAAAAGGAGTATATCAAAAAATATGACAGATTACTGGAATGTGAATCTTCCTTCTATAAGAAAAAAGCTAATATCAGTTGGAGTTTAGAAGGAGATAAAGGTTCTAAATTCTTCCACTCTATCATGAAAAAGAAAAGACATCATAATAGAATTCTGACACTCTATAATGAAAGAGGAGATAGAATCACTGATAATGAGAGTATTATCTCTGAAATTGTTGGATATTACAACAAATTGCTGGGAACCTCAGTCCCTACATCTGATCCTGATCCGATGGTGTTTGCTAATGGACCTCTCCTCTCACATGATCAGAGACAAGCTCTTAGTACCCCAATTACAAGAGATGAGATAAAAAAAGCTATCTACTCTATGTCAAATGATAAAAGTCCTGGCCCAGATGGTTACAGTGCTCTGTTCTTCAAAGCCTCTTGGAGTATTATCAGTGAGGAACTTTTCTCAGCAGTTGAAGAATTTTTTATCTCAGGGAAACTTCTTGGTACAATTAATACCACCTCCATCACCTTAATTCCAAAGATTCTCAATCCACAATATGCATCTGACTTCAGACCTATATCTTGTTGCAATTGTGTGTACAAAATTATTACTAAAGTCATTGCAACTAGAATTCAAGGGGTAATGGGATATCTGATAAGTGATGCTCAAAGTGCATTCGTAAAGGGTAGACTTATATCAAGTAATATCCTCTTAGCTCATGAGATTGTTAAACACTATAGTAGAAAACATTCTTCCCCTCGAGCTATTTTGAACATTGATTTGAGGAAGGCATTTGACACAATCTCCTGGGAATTCATCAGAAAAATGCTGATAGGATTGAAATTTCCTGAAAATATGATTTCTTGGATCATGGAATGCATTTCAACACCCAAATTTTCCATCTCAATTAATGGTGTTCTTCATGGCTACTTTCAAGGGGCTAGAGGACTGAGGAAAGGGGACCCCTTATCTCCATATCTGTTTGTAATTGGAATGGAATACTTGTCTCGGAAACTCAGCATTCTCAAGGAGGACAAAGCTTATAAATTTCATCCCAAATGTTCGAGGTTGAACATAACTCATCTAGTGTTTGCAGATGATCTCCTCATGTTTGGCAAAGCTGATATGGGTACAATTTCAAGATTAAAGGACTGCCTAACGGAATTTAGTCAGTTATCTGGCCTAGAACCAAATCCAACTAAATGCTCCATATTTCTGAGTGGGATTGATAAAAGCCTGAAAAATCAAATCTGTAACTCCCTTAACTTCTCGGAGGGGATTCTACCAGTGCGCTATTTAGGTATGCCTCTTATCTCTAAAAGACTCTCTTGCCTAGATTGCTCTCCTCTTATTAACAGGATTTCTGAACAATTTCAAAACTGGCTCAAAAGGAAACAACTATCATATGCTGGCAGATTACAGTTGATAAAATCAGTCATTATGGGAATTCAGATCTATTGGACTAGTAACTATATTCTTCCCATCAAAGTTCTTGAAAAAATTGATAGTATGTGTTCTGACTTCTTATGGGGTCACAAAATTCACCTAGTGTCCTGGGAATCTGTATGCCAAGGGATTGATCATGGTGGCCTGGGGTTATTTTCTGCAAAATTTTGGAATTATGCCATGGTAGCAAAGCTCCTTTGGATGATACATCTTAAAAAAGATATTCTCTGGATTAAATGGATTCACGGTCACTATCTGAGACAAAATAACATCTGGCAAGTCCAATCTAAGAAGTGCGATTCATGGTTGTGGAGGCAATTGCTGAGAGTGAGAAATTTGCTGATTGATAAGCTCGAAAGTGTTAATAACTTGCAAAATGTCATCAGAGAAAGTTGTATTAATAGCAAGCTCAGTGTATCAGTGATGTGCATGAATCTTTTTCAACAATCTGACCTGACAATATGGTCAGGAATTGTGTGGAGAGGATGGCATATACCTAAACATTCCTTTATCCTCTGGTTGGCAGCTCAATCAAGACTCTTAACACAAGAGAGACTATGTAGAATGAGGATCTTGAGATCTAATTTGTGTGTTTTATGCTCTAGGGAAGGCCAAACGGAAACTTGTCATCATCTGTTTTTTGATTGCCTTTATTCTGCAAGGGTATGGAATAAGGTAATGGATTGGTTATGTTTCAACTGGAAATCATGTGGGTGGAACCAAATCATTAATTGGTACAGCAGGAGCTTGAGGGGGAAAAATTACAAAAAAAAGTTGAAGAGAATGGCATTATCCGTATCAGTGTACATGATATGGCAAGAGAGAAATTTGAGAATCTTCCAACAGAAATCAAGAAGCTCTGATTATCTGTTTAGTATGATAAAGATGCATGTGTATACAAGAATTTTAAATGACAACATACCACACTACATGAAAGAATATGTAGAAAAATTTTAAAGTTTGAAGACTGGATTCTATAACCAGTCTTGAGTGAACAATCTCTTGATGTACTTATTATTTCTACATTTGGTAAATAAATAAAATTTTTCATTGACAAAAAAAAGTGGTTTGACGTGGTGAGATGATGAGAAGAAAATGGTGATTATACCCGCTAGTGAGCAAAAAGTATGGAGCGACTATGTTACCGTAATATTACACTTTATACTTATTAATTTGAATTATTAGTTTGTTGCATATTTCTAAAATTATTTATGAATGTTCTTATATTGTAGGCTAATCCAAATACAAAGGCTACAAGAATCGTTTGATTGAAAATTGTGATGATATTATGGTGTTATGTGCAAAAAATAGAGCCAATGGTGAAGGTGCAGAAACCTTTGAAGAGGTTGCTAACGTAATGCAACATAAGGAATCTGAGGCGTAGTCTGAAACAAACAAAGGTGGAGGCTCTTCAAGGAAACATCTTCCTGGAGCATCAACTAGTGGTGAGACAAGTTCCAAGAAACAAAAGAAAGGGGATAAAATGGTTGATTCACTTGTATTGATGGTAGTTTCTTTGAGTGAGTATTTTAATGAGAGAAAGAAGGAAGTAGTAAGAAAATCACTAACGGGAGAGGAGATTCATCAAGTTGTCTCAAAAATACTCAACTTAAGTCACGTTCAAGTGTTCAATGCATTTGAGAAGATAATTGATAGCAACCCGAAAAAGTTTTATTTGTTGAAGTTACTTCCTGATGATGAAAAACGAGATTTTATTTTCTTTATTCTTAAGCAATAGTTTCTAGCTAGATTTGTTTTTCTTTTTTAGGGCATATTTAACTCCAATTATTTTATCATTTATGTTAGGATGCACACTTATAGTTGTGATTTTCCTCTATAGTAGATATTATTTCTATTTTGGAGAGTATTTTGTTTTATGAACTAATTTTGATGCTAAATTTTTTAATGTAGGATCCAATAAGTTCTCCGAGACATAAGTTGGAAGCATAGGAGAGAAAGGAGAAAACTTTAAAGAATAAATAGACGATTCTTGTTATGGTTTCTTTTAGTAGCTTATGTTGTGCTAATTTAGCTTGTTGTAGAAAATCATTGTTATCTACCACCTATAGTATGTTGTGTTTTAAATGAAGGTTTATTGTGTAGCCTAGATTTTCTTATGTGGATTGTTCGCTATACTCTTTTGTGTCATCAAGTCTTTTATCATGGCTAATTTTTAAAGTAGTATTCTTGTTATTTTGGAGATTGAAGGTCAATGTGGTAGTGGATAAAACCATGAAGAAATATGCTATAATAATGAATATTTTGGATATTATTATTATTGTATGTATTCTCTTGTATCAATTCATGAGGGATGAGATGTTTGCATGAGTATTTATAATTGCTATCGAGGTGATCAATTTTGATTTTGAATCACTTCTTAAAGTTCTATTTTCTGCATGAGAGGTATTTCTTCCTTTTGAAAAGGCTTGGGCTAAGTAGCATGGTACTCAGATATGTTAACTATGTGTATATGTCATAAATTGTTCACAGAGTGGTATTCCTTATCTCTGCCCTTCCCATTAGTGGATTCATATTTAAACTCACTTGGTTCTTCTTTAGGAGCTCGAGAGGACTTCTTTGATCCCCTGTTTGAGAAAGAAGACCTCTTCCTGTTGTCAGCTTCACCCCAAGACCATTTCTCAACTTCATCACCTTTCTTCTTTGCATCCCATTTTATTGACTTTTACAAAAAAAAAAACACCCAAGAAATTTGGTCTATAGCGAAAAACCCCAAAAAGTTTGAAAATGTCACTTAACCTTCAAAGTTTTTCAAATAACCCCTCAAATGCTGGTGCTTATCGGACAATAGATTTTAAAATATGCAATAATTTCAAAGGTTAAATGACATTTACTGAACTTCTCAAGGTTTATCATAAATGGGCTAAACTTCCTAGGGGGCTTTGTGAAATTTATCCTAACTTTTACCTCAACATAAACCTTAATATCCACATAAAGATTAAGGAGTTAAGTGAAATCATAAATTTTCTTAAAACACCAATTCTGAATCCAATTTCATGTATAATAAAGTGTATCCAAACACTATATTTCAAATATTTGATTTCAAATCCTGCATTTTGTAAAGAGACCCAAACAAAAGATTCTATCAAATCATAGATATCAAATCCTAGACTTAAAATCCTTTTATTTTAAATCAACATTCCAAATCCAAATCTAAGTTCCCAAACGTAGCCCAATATTATGCAAAGTTTCCCTTGCGATATGTTGTAGGGTACTATAAAATATTTAATAAATAAATTATCATACATCTAGAGTAGATTCAAAATATTTTACCAGTTACGATGCACATGCATCACACCTAATGAAAAATAAAACCCCTAGAAATAATTCTTTGAAGAAATTTTCGTTTTAAACTTATTCAGACTTTTTTTTTAAAAACCGACCTACTCTGTTTTCATTTCCAGATACTGACTTACTTTGGGACCACGTCGGCAACGTGGCCACGAAGCGGGTCGATTTTTTTAATCTCGTCTCTAAATAGTCGGCGTTGATAACCCCGACTATTTTGCTAATGTCCTAGCTAAATTAGTCGGGGTTGGCAACCCAACTAATTTAGGATCTTGTCTAATTGGTCGGGGTTGGCAACCCCGACCAATTCGAAAGCCGTAGCTCGAAATGGTTGGGGGTTCCCAATCACGATCATTTTGCCTTAGCCGATTCCAGCTCGACTCGTCAGCTGGGTGCAAAGGTCTTTCGAATGGCCGGGGTTGGGTTGGGAACCCCGACCAATTCGAAAAGAGCTTTCGAATTGGTCAGGGTTGCCAACCCTGACTAATTAGACATGGTCATAAATTAGTCGGGGTCCTAAATTAGTCGATGTTGGCTAGGACATTAGCAAAATACTCGGGGTTGACAACCCCGACTATTTAGAGACGAGATTAAGAAAAAATCGACCCGCTTCGTGGCCACGTTACTGACGTGGCCACAAAATGGGTCGATTTCTGTAATTAAAATGGGAGTGTGTCGGTTTTTAAAAATAAAAGTGAGATTGGGTTTAAAATGAAAATTTCTTCATAATTCTTTTGTCGCTGCTCTCCACGAACTTTTCCTGGTCAATTACCCCCTCTCTCTCTCTCTCTCTCTCTCTCTCCCTCTCTCTCTCTTTGTTGCTGTAAAGATGAGCCTCTCACATTGTCAATTAGCCTTCCAACCAAGAATCAAACACTATACTAATCTTCCCAATTGCCCATTATCCCGTCAACCGACCAAAGGAACCAAACCAAGTCGTTCGACAAGGCAACAGAAGTTGCCCACGAATTGTTTGTATAATTGCCGAAATGAGTCCCAAGCGCCCAGAATTTTCGCTGTATCGGACCTGCACACTGATTACTCTGAGAATATGAAATGGGTTAAGGGCCTTTCTACCTCCTGGTACAAGAACGATGTCCTCATTGTAGCCGGTGATGTGGCAGAGACTTATAGCAATTTTCTGGTGACAATGTCTGAGCTGAAGGAGAGATTTCGGTTTATTTTCTTTGTTCCTGGGAACCATGATCTGTGGTGTCGAAGAGAAGGTGATAGATTTGTAAGTGAATTCTTTTTCACTGGGTTCTCTTAAAATTTGTGGTTTTGGAATTTGGAGTACTCAAAATTTTACAATGTCAAATTATATTGATAATTCCTATAATGAAGAAATTTCCTAAATAAATTCATTCATATTTTTTTTCTAAAAATAGACCCCCTCGAGTTTTATTTACAAAAAATAGACCCATTTTATCTTAATCCGGTTCCTAAATAGTCGGGGTTGCCAACCCCCCAACCCCGACTATTTAGGAGGTTGTAAACCCCCAATTATAACCCTAAACCCTAACATTCTATTGGCAACCCCGACTATTTAGAAACCGGATTAAGACAAAATGGATCGATTTTTGTAAAAAAACTCAAGGGGGTCTATTTTTAGGAAAAAAATATGAATGAGTTTGTTTAGAAAATTTCTTCTTCCTATAATACCCAAAATTCCTATAATACCCAAAACTTGGTGTCTCTTTGAAATGTATAATATAGAGATAGGTGTGATAGTGATTGTAATGATGATTTCTTGTGTAGCATCACGACATTTCCTTATTGGTTTTGGCATGCTGATGTCTAGTTTCTTTTTGTAGATTTTTGAATTTCAATTATTTTAGAATTATCTGGAGTCTCTCTATATGTGAAGCCGCCAAGCTCTGTCAGCACTTAGCATTGAAACCCCTGATTGTTGCCTTCTCGTTGGTTATTAAGCTGCAACTGTGAAGTGAATCTGTCAATTTAGCGAGTTCCTCTTTGAATATATTTTGCCTTTTCCACTTAAAGCATGCACTGTTATGTTCTGTATTTCATATTTTAGGTAGTTGTTTTCCAATATTAGTTTGTTAAGTTTTTTATATTTTGAAACTAGTCGCTAGAACCATTGAAAAAGCGATTAGGTCCTCCCAATTCTTAAGTTATTTTGAAAGTAATTACTCAAGTCATTGAAATTGCTATTAGGCCTTGGAAATTAATCCCTCTACTTGCTACCTCTACTTTGATTGGAGGAACTAATTTCAAAATAAGTTAAAGAATTGAGGGACCTAATAGCACTTTCAATGATTTGAGGGACTAGTTTTAAAATAGCCTAAGAGTTGGGAGCCCTAATAGCAACTTCAATGATTTGAGGAACTAATCTCAGAATATAAACGATTTAAGGGACTAATATAAAGAAACCCTTTTAGAAATAAGGCTGCTTGTTCTACCTGCTGATGTGTTCAAACTTAAAGTGCTTTCTGATCATGGATGTAAGGATGTTGCGCTCAAAAGGAGAATGTATAGCTTGAAGTTCTTCTAAGGTTTCAGTCAATTGTTTGATCACAACTAAGTTGACTTTGTTTATTCTGTTGGAGATAGTTTATGTGATAGCTTTCCATTTTTGATAGACAAGCACAATGATCTTGTGCAATTTTCTGCACTCAATTTCCCCTCGAAACATTTCAATACTTGTTTCTGTCTCTCATTCTTTGATCTATAAATGTACCATACTATCTGTTATTCCATGATTTCTATGTATTCCTTGGAAATTGGGTTCTTTAAGCGTTCAGTACTATGGACATTCATCAGACACCTAACATTGGCTGATGAAGTTTGTCTATCCATGAGATTACCGTCTACCATAGAATGAGATGCAAACAACAATAAACTAAACTAAATTTATGTCAGGATGTTCATACTCTTTTCAGATTGATTCATTGGAGAAGTTGAATGCATTGCTTGATGCATGCAGTGACCTTGGAGTAGAAACTAGCCCAAGAATAGTAGAGGGTCTGGGAATCATTCCTCTGTTCTCATGGTATCATAAGGTAATAAATTCTGCCGTTTTGGATATTGTATGTGTAAATGAAACAATAGTGGTCAATGCTATTTATACTTATCTGAATTATGGTTTTTTTGCAGAGCTTTGATACAGAGAAGGATATAACTAGAGTTCGGATACCTTCACTGGAGATGGTAATTCCTTTCTTTGGTATTTTGTAGGATGTTAAAATGCCTTGATAATAGAATTATGATTGCATATATTTGGAGAATTGGATTCAAGAATTTATCCTTTTGTTGAATGTTTGAAAAATCTCTAATCTCAGCATGAAGAGAATCTCTAATCAACTTATGCACCAAAAGCTTTCCCTGTAGCCAGCCTGACTTAATTTGTCGGTCCTTATGGCCAACCAACAATGAGAAAGCTTGCTATGTGGTCTATTTTTCCCCCTTAAAATTGATTTTTCTCATGAATGATTTAATCTCAAGTTGCTATTTATGATTGTGAGATGAGTAGACTGATATTGCTTTTTAGGAACGTTCCCTTTTAGTTTAGATGGCCAAATTCACATCGACACTGAATTACCATAAGTGGATTTTTAAGGTTTTCTTTAGAGTAACTGGGAAGTATTCTGAGAGACTAGATAAAAAGTAAATCATGGAAGGTAATCAGGCATATGCGAGGAATGGGTGAACAAATGTCTTTCTCAAGATCAAATTTACATCTAAAAGGATCACAAAACTGGCTATTCCCGGACAGGACCTTACTTTTTCTTGAAGGGAGCTCAAAGAATACTGGTTGATGAAGGAACTGAGAAAACACAATTTTCTTTTAGTCAGCGAGGGTTACTTTGCTTGTTTACAAGGGTATGTCATAGGTTGACAGAGTATTTTTTGGAAAGTATTCAAGGAATAATGTTACGGAATTTTTTTAAAAAGGGAACTAGTAAGATCAAATCGATCTCGACCAATGGAATATATCATCGTTGATATTAAATATAATTTTTCTCTGCTGCGACACACTTATGCATGTGCTCAGATTATGATTTGGGCTAAGAACATCTTCCATAGAGTGGAAATTCATGACTGGAAGAAGCTTGAAGCGAAGTGTTGGGGTCTTTCTCTTGGCAATCTGACAATTATTGGGAGCAAATTGGTCAAATATCTGATGAAAATCTGGAGAGTCCATTGGCTTACTAGTGGAAACTGGAACACTTTTTTGTCTAAAGAAGCAGTGATTCCTTTCTTGATTTTTTGGAGTGACAAAGTAGAAAGAGACTTTTGTGCATCTGTGCAAGAAAAAGTCTTTCTTTTTTGCTCCCTCTATTAATAGATTAAGCATCATTACTCACCAGGCACCAACTAAGAGAAGGTGAGGCTCTGCCAACCAATTTGAAAGGCCAGGATCTCATAATTGAGTACTATGTTATTTGGTTTACCACTTTGAAAGGCTGAGATCTCATAATGGAAAGAATGATCTCTAGCTCAGCTGGTTTGTTACTGTTCTAAGTCAACAAATAAAGCCGCACACCTTCTCAAAGTGGTGAACCAAATAACATAATACTCAATCTGTGCATAATCATGTGCTTTCAGTAAGTACTCAATACTAACCCCTTCGAGCCATATGCACCACTGATCTACTGTACCTGTAACCTTAACGTTGTAACTACTGTTTGGTATCCTTAGTAGGTTTGGGATTCAAGTAAATCTATAGAAATCCCAATGTACGTATAATTTGTTTGCGGATAATGTCAAGCACACTAAACATTAAAGCCTAGGTAAAATGAACATGGCATTTTTGGGTGCCAAGTCCGTGTCTGACATTTTTTAGAGACAGACTCTCCGTGGACATGTACGGACACATGTGGTTAAAAAAACCCGATTTCCCCTACTTATACCCTAAACTAGTTTATTTGGTAATATCAGGTTCAAAACCAATTGGTTTTTTAACCTGAACACATTACTTAAATATTTAATAAACACCCATCGTATTATCCCATGCAGTCAAAACTAAACTTTTGTTGTTGAACTTTATTCTTAGTTTGTTTTAACTTGATTCTTAATTGTTACAAATAATAGAAAGAAACATACAAATGTCATTCCTATTTTCATTCAATATTTGATCATGTATGTTAATACATACATGTAGACATACACACACACATACATACATACATACACATGCACATATATGTATATATACACACACACACACATACATACATAGATATACATATATACATATATGTATATGTGTATATACATATGTACACATACATATATACATATACGTATATGCATTTATTATATATATATATATATATATATATATATATATATATATATATATATATATATATATATATATATATATATATATATATATATATATATATATATATATATATATATATATATATATATATATATATATATATATATATATATATATATATATATATATATATATATATATATATATATATATATATATATATATATATATATATATATAGAGAGAGAGAGAGATATATATATATATATATATTAATGGGTATCCTTGTCATAGGAGGGGATTCCCTCCTTAACACCTCTAAAATCACATGATTGAGCGATATTGTGGATGATCCGCTCCGTTGAACTTGATCTACATATTCTAAAACCCCAATAGATACATACATACATATATATGCATATACGTATAGACATATATGTATATATGCACACATATATACATATATATACATATATATGTACATATATACATATATATGTATGTACATATATACATATATGTAAATGTGTGCATACATAAATACACATATACGTATATACATATATGTATATGTATATATGTATAAATATGTATATGTATGTATGTATATATATGTTTGTGTGTGTACATATATATACATACATATATGTACGTATACATGTATATTTATACATATACGTATATGTATATATATATATATATATGATCCTTTTTTGGCTCTCTCTTGAGCCCTATGTCTCTTATCCCTAGGAGGTATTCCTCCACTAGTAGGTATTTTAGGAAACATATATATAATTCATGTGAAATACTATTTTTATTACAAAAAATCTAAAAATAATTCATTTTTAAATTCACCACCATGATCACTTCTAATACTGACAATAGTAGTGCATTTTTGATTTTGTATCTTTTCACAAAAAGTAGAAAACTCATTAAAAGCATAATTCTTATGTTTTAAAAACATAACCCATGTAAATCTTGAATAATCATCAACAATGACAAGTGCATATCTACTTTTATTTAAAGATGCAATTCTAGAAGTACCAAATAGATCCATATGTAATAAACTTAATGGTCTACTTGTAGAAACAACACCTTTAGATTTAAAAATTGATTTATGTATTTTTTCTTGTTTACATGCGTCACAAAAATGAATTTTCTTATTTACAATTTTAGGTAAACCATATACCAAATTATTTTTAGAAATACGTGAGATATTTTTTAAATTAATATGTTCACATCTTCTATGCCATAATAATGAATCATCATAAGATGCAAAACAATGATCATTTGAATAAAAATTCATGGATAAAACATATATATTTCTTTCGAAAACCTTTAAACAAGATATTTGTTAAATCATGATCATATATAAGACATGAATCTTTTTCAAATATGATTTTAAAATTCTTATCACATAGTTAACTTATACTTAGAAGATTATATTTTAAATCATCTACTAATAAAACATTATCTATTAGAGGTTTGTCAATATTACCTACTGTTCCAATACCTATTACTTGACATTTGTTTTTGTCTCCAAATATAACTGTGCCTCTCTTTTTGTATTGAATTGAAGACAATATGTGAGAGTTTCTGGTTATGTGTTTGGAACATCGACTATTTAGTATCCACTTTTTTTTTGAGGTATCTGAAAAATAGACATTTAAACATTGATACCCTTTAATGTTGGGTCTATTGGATTAGCACTTAGGATACCAAATCCACTTAGAATTTGGTTTTCCTTTGTTAACATAAATATAATTATTTGAATTGCATATGTTTTTTTTTTTAATTTGAAATATAAGTATTTTTTTCATGCATACTAACATTTTTAGGTACCCAAATAAATATAGATAAAGCATGATTATTTTTAGTATGAATATTCCTTGTTAATGGTGCATGGAATTTTCTAACATTGTTATTCATAAAAGATGATGCATGATTTGTACTAGAAATATTTTCATACTTCTTATGAACATATCCTAAACTAAATTTTTGACAAGAAGACTTTTGGAAAGATAACAAATCATCTAAGTCTTCTTTTTCTTTATTAAACTTGTTTACATTTAAGAATAACTCTTCATATTTAAGTTTAAGTGAAGCCATACTCTTATCTAAATCTGAAATTTTATTTTTCATAACGTTACATTCAGTTTTAAGATAGAAATTATTTTCAGTTAATAACCTATTTTTAGAAAATAATTTGTAATTTAATTCCTTTAATTCTTCAATTTGAGAAAACTAATTCTAAGTTCAATCTATCATTTTTAGTTTTCAATATCTTATAATTAGTATTTAAATCCTTAAACTTAATATAAAGTTCATTAAAAGTTTCTAAAAGTTCTTCATTATCTAAAGAATCATTTACTTCATCTTGTGCCATGAAGCACTTGTGAGCGGATTCTTCTCTTTCTTCTTCTTCGTCGGAAGAGGATGAATCATTACTATCATCCTAAGTCACTGACATAGCTTTCTTTTTTTTCTTGAAGTTGTTAGAGTTGTTAGAATTTGTGGACTTTGACTTGAGTAGCGGACAATCATTCTTTATGTGACCTAGCTTATTACAATTGAAACACAAAGAAGAGTCATTAGTATTCTTAAATTTATTTGATAATGTCATCCATAGTTCGTACACAAGAGATTAGAGGCAGATCTTTATCCGACACTTCCAATAGTTGTAGTTTGTGCCGTCAAAGATAGGTGATCGTTGTATGGAATGTCTATCTTTGAATTGTGATGTATTTGTTGTACTTGATAATGTCATCCTTCACCTTGCTCTGATACCAAGTGTACGATCTAATCTAATATACACTAAAACACTAGAGGGGTTGTGAATAGTGTTTTTTTTAAAATTTTTGCAATCTAGATTATAAATTGTAAGAAAAATAGCAATAATCACAGAAAATTATAATCACAA